CCTTTCTCTCAAAAAGTCGAAAATAGCCTCTGGATGTCACAAACGATATGCGTCGAAAGTGGGGGTTTACGGTATCAACACCCATACATTGAGTCTCATGGAATAGTTTACTGTTAGTTGTATTTCAATATTCAGCGTTTCCCCTTTAAAAGCTATCCCTTCCATTGGCCATGCCACGTCACATCTCGACATATTTTGTTCACTCATCCTTCTTTGATTGCGTTTTATGGTTGACAATACATTTTTGACCCTATTGTCGTTGTTTTTGTTGCTGTCGCTGCTACGTATAATTGTTTGGTCGGTTGCCCGGTGATATTTCTTTGCAACACTCCAAACATTTATTCCTCGAGATACGGTAGTTTCTTTTGTTTTGAAAGAGTGTGGATGTGTGTGTCTGTGTTGTCAATGTTCGTCTTTAGTTTTTGCCTTTTAACTTTGGCACTCTTCTCCGGATTTGATGCGATTTACGGCTGGCTGAAGGTTCATTCTCGTGCCAGCTCATGTTTCCGTGAGTGTGTGTGTGTGAAGAACGTTGCGTAAGTATATTGGCGCCATCGGTGACATTTTTATTGTGCGTTAATTTGTACAGCGGCAAAACAATTATTTCTAAATTAAATTCACCATTTCGGCACGGAGTGGCTTGAAACGCCAAACTCCTTGTGCGAAGGCATCGTCTCAGCTTACACATCTCGAGAATAGTTTACGACAAAGATGTCCAATAAATAAGGGAACGTCACATCGACAATTACAAGTCAATAATTTACAAAACTTGGAGGGGTTTTGGAATAGTAGAAAACAACGAATGGCCGGACAACGACAATTAGCTTAGCTGTTTTGGAAGAAATAAATAAGATTTGAATTATGTTTACATTTCAAGAACTTCGTTCGGCATGGGAAGTTTTGTTTATTGTATATAATTCAAGAGGTTGCAATTGTTTTGAGGAATAAATGTTTGACAGAAAACTGACCTTTGGGAAGTTTTATTCGGTGTAGATTTCCTTATATCTGCATAATAGAAAAACTATGTAAAACGTTTAGAGTTCTGAAAAATGCGGGCAAGTTTTGGTCTGAACTTAACGATTAGCCTTCTTTTAAAACAATCCCGAATGAGGTTTAAATCTCTTATTCAAGCAATGACAATGAAAATAGAAAATTTGAGGTAAGATTGAAGAAAAAATCACAGCATTTTTTGAAGAGCAAAACCTGAGGATATTTATAAAGAGCGAATTGCTTCTTTTGACCCGACAACCTTTGACCTTGCTTCTCTCCACTTTCATAATCGCATCCATCGTGGTCGGTCTCGATGAGAAGCAATGGGAGAGATCGCATAGGGCCAATATTTTCCATGTTCACTCCTGACCCAAGTCCAATAAAATTATTACGACGTGCCAAGTTTGGAATATATACTCGTTTTGTAAGTGATATAAGTGAGTGACCTGATATATTCAATTTCCAAACTTGCTCTAATATAGAAAAAAATATATAAAGACGAAACATTTGGAGAAGATCGGACATTGATTTCATCTTTATTCAAACTGTAGACATATTGCGGGAGAGGATCAGAATGATTGGTTTAATATTGTCTATTCTCGCGCAACATTATCGGGAACAAAGTTGGACTTTATCGAGTAGTCGAATCGTTTTATATGAGGCGTATGTCCGACTTTTTCAAGAATTTTATGATATGGTATATGAATGAGTGGATAAATATTGTCTGTCTATTTTTTGGACCTGCCTTAAGTCTTGTCTATATATAGGCAACTTTGTATCGAGTTCTCCCTCCCAATTTTTATATCGTGTACTCCCTTTACTCAATTTGAAATTATTACTTTTTTTGGTCCAATAAATCCAACTACCGATGAGAATCAGTTCAGATGAGATGTCTCGCCAACTTGGGGTAGGTACCAACATTTGTGGGTTGATAAGTATTATGTCCACTATTAAAATGGCCAATAGTTTGTTAATTTGCATTTTATGAGACTTCCAGAATGAAATGTTCAAAATGTTGTATATTATCCCTAATATGTTTGGTATTGAAAATGGGACATATCGGTCAACGTTTAGCTATGGCCCCATATAGCGTTACTTCTTGATTTTCGGTATTTTTAATGATTTGACCACAATTTTAAACTAAATCATGTGTAGGTTAGGTTAGGTACGTTGAAAAGAGGGGCGAAACAATTCGCCGCATGCCCTGATGGGCATACACCTAATCGAGTATAGGCCTGTTGTGCGCTCTAGACTAAGGGTTTTTGAAAGAAGACGGGCAGTTTACAGTCTCTTATATTTGAAAGCCAGTTGGCTTAATGAAGTTCTTTAACTGTTTTATATCAATTACCATGATCTGATTAAGGGCTGGTGTGGAGTTCTTCCCTAAGATTTTGGATCTGATATTAGCAAATGCTGGGTATTGACAGAGAAAATGTTCCAAAGTTTAGTCGTCTTCCCCACATGCCCTGCATATGCTGTTATCTGCACAACATATCTTGTATAGATGGGCTTGTAGGCCCAGGTGCCTGTTACCTCACTAATCTCCTTCTTACCTAATAATAAACGGTTCTTTGTTTTTATTTCATTGGGATCGCCCCATAAATTTTTGTGGTTTTCCCTACGTCCTCATTGTTCCATAGGGATATGTGGACGTTTTTTTGCCATATTTTTATACCCTCCACCATACTATGGAGGGTATATTAATTTTGTCATTCCGTTTGTAACTCCTCGAAATACTCATGTCAGACCCAACAAAGTATATATATTCTTGATCAGCGTAAAATTCTAAGACGATTTAGCCATGTCCGTCTGTCTGTCTGTGTGTCTGTCTGTGTGTCTGTCTGTCTGTTCTTTCGAATAAATTGAGATAGAAGGCTAAAATTTTGCACACATGTATATTTTGTCAGTAGGCAGGTTAAGTTCGTAAATGGGCCATGTAGGTCCAAGTTATCAAATAGCCCCCATATAACTGTACCTCCCGATATTCAGTATTTTGATGATTTTAGCGACATTATTCACCGGAGTTGTTTCAAATTTGTATTTGAAGTTCGTAATGAATACTACAGCCTAAGACAGAAAATTATCTGTGCGGGTCCACGTCTTCGTGTAGCCCCCATATAACGGTACCCCCCGATTTTCGGTATTTTGGAATATACCGGAATCGTTTCAAATTTGGTATTTGAAGTTCGCAATGGATACAGCATAAAACAGAAAATGAGCCATATAGGTCCACGTCTTCATATAGCCCCCATGTGCCGTACCCCCCGATATTCGGTATTTTGATGATTTTAGCGACATTATTTACCGGGATTGCTTCAAATTTCGCATGTGAAGTTTCGTAATGGATACAGCCCATGCCAGAAAATTGTCTGTGCAGGTCCACGTCTTCTTATAGCCCCCATATAACAGTACCCCCCATATATGGTATTTTATGATTTTAGCTACATTATAAACAGTTTTCTTTTTCAAGTTTCGCATTTAAATATTGTAATAACTTATGACAAAAGTTATGCAGGCCCACGTCGTCGTATAAGCATTCGGTATTCTTAAGATTTTAACTGAATTTTTAACGGATTTTATTTTTTGGAAATTGCCAAATTTGTACCAAATGGTGGAGGGTATTAAAAGTTCGGCCGGGCCTTGTTAACACTAGACGGGACACATTAAGCGGCACTGTATTGTCTAACTGTGTAACTTGATATTTCGAGTTTTGAGTCCATGCTTATGTTTTCCATTTTCAAGCATATTGGGATATTCTAATACTTAAGAAAATCGAAAGCTATTAGTTTCAAAATGTAGAAATTTTGTGGGTATATATGAGAAGCAAAAACGGTCAATGAAGTGAAGCGCTTGCTTGAGGTGATCGACACTTTGGTATTTTTTAGTCCCAACCAAAATATACTCTAGACACAATAGTGCGCTGCAAATGAAGCGAGGAACCTCATTTTGTAACCATTCTTGTGTGGCACGTGCTAAATGCGATGGTGCTGAGTCCTGCTGGAATGTCCAAGGTCTGCAGCCAAAATGTTTGCGTGCCCAAGGATTTAATACACCCTGCAGAATATTTTCCCGATAATATTCGGCATTTATTCTGATGCCACGGTCGATTAATACGAGCGGAGAAGGTCCACATTTTCAGCTGACCTCTTTGACAAGTAAACACGATCATTTTGTTTGTTTACAAACTGCTGAAAAACGATTGTTTTCTCATCGGAGAAAACCAAATTCGGCAGTTCACCACATTCGGCCAAGCGAAACAAATCTAGCTCTTTTGAGTCTATTTTCTTTCTGTTGCGGTGTAAGTTCTTGCACTTTTTTGAATTTCAATGGCTTTACCCCGAGCTTACGAGCCATTTTCGACCACAGCGACGCGTGTTTCGATCAAGTCGATTCGTTATTTTTGCGAACCATTTCTGCAGATGTTGCTGTTTTCTTCCGTCCACTTCCTTGACGTCGGGTTACGCTACCAGTATCACAGTAACGAGCAATGGTACGAGACACAAAAGATTTATTCACATTTAAATGCTGGAGTGCTCTAACCATAGCCACTTGTGGTTTTCCAGCCAAATATAAAGAAATCACACAATCACGCTTGAATTCCGTCACGAATAACTTTTTTTCTAGTAAATCCCACCATGGTGCTATTGTACGCTTGTAAACAATACGATGAGCTGTCACTGGAATAATTTTAACAGCTGTCGGACGAGTGGCTTAGAAATGACAGCAGTCTGAAGTTGGTTGCAATTTTTTCATCTCACCTTGCATTTTGCTTTACTTTTCAATTACCCAGCCCAAAGCCCATTTACAGGACAGGGAATAATATGTATATATGCAGATAATATGTATATATGCAGATATTCGAAAAACATTTTTTTAGAAATCTCGAAAATAGCAGCACTTTTTCAAACAAATTAATAAACTAAAATCTCTTTCATTTTACGTTTTACTTAAAGTAGTCATAATAATATATACATTTGATCATTTTCTTTTTTCTTGCTTTCCTTTTAAAGCTTCCCGAAGAGAAATCACCACAACATCCTGTCGAGTTGTCCACCGAGTTAATGCTGGCATGCACGGTGGCTCTGTCGCCATCCTATACCAAGAAGCACACCCACCCCAATGTTTTGGAGCGACTACCGGATTTGATAAGGTAAGGTCAAATGTAAATATCATAGAGAATGTTGAGACGATTAACATTGAAACATAAACGTTGTGTTTTACACTGAGACTAGGTAAGAGATACAGAGATTGTGAATATTTGCGCTCAGCAGCAGGTATAGAAAACTTATCTTTAAACATAAATACTAAAGAAATAATTAAATATGAAAGAATAAGTTTAAGGAAAAACATAAAACAAATTTCTGCAGAGTTCGATTTAAACTTTCTAAACGTAATTATCACATTTCTTAGACAATTCTTCGGACATGTCGGAAAAATTATCATTGTACAAATTGCACGAAATTGTTTTTTTAATAGTTGACGAATTAACAAGTGAAGCCCGTTTAAATTTCGAATATACCAAAATTAAATAAAATACATCAGCGGAATATTCTCTCCTCTTAGAACCCAAAACACAAAACTATGTTATATCTACTAAATGGTGTGCATAAACTAAACCGTGCTCCCTCTCTGATAATTTTCCATTGAAATGGAATATATGACTAAAGTTTTCAAAACCCTGTCCCTTCATAAATTTAATAGTACACCAAATCGGTATAATATGAGAGTAATCCGTGCTAGGATTCATCTAACATAAGTTTTTCCAGCACTGCATTTTCTACATAAATAAAAGACGAAATAATAGCCTGTTTCTTTAGAGGTTTTACCATAAACCTTGTACATTAGGGGTCTTATAAGAAACTGAATCGGGCAAATTGGATTTTATCGGAGGCCAAGCCAAAAATCTAGACCATTTTTACTAAAATTTAATAGGAAAAGAAGAGTTACATTTCACCAAATTCAAACAGCCTATTTCAATTTCATTTCAATTGAGTAAGGTGTCAATATTTGTTCAATACCAGCAGTATTGACTTTTACTAACTTTATTTTACCCTTCAGCCATATGGCTGGAGAGGGTATATATCATTTGATACGTCCAAAACTTGCCTCATCGAAATAACAGTTTTAGAACCTAGGTCTCTTTGGACCAAATCCGTATCAGGACATTTGGAGTCGATTTAGCGATGCCCGTCCGTCTACCGATTTGGTCCAAACTTGGTGCATCGTAATATTATTATCAAACTTAGAGATGGGCAATATCGGTCCACTCCTTCTGGTACAAAATTTCAAAATTTTCAAAGAAAATTGTTTTTTTTCCAGAAAGAGAAAGGCTAATCCGAATTTGCTCTAACCTTGTGAATCCTAATATATGCGTCAGTGCTAGGTCAGATGCGAAAATGGATAATATCGGTCCACTCCATCAAGTGTCTTCCCTCACAAAGGATAACAATTTTAAATAATTCTAACTCTTATAACATGTGATGTAAGAATCCGATTGTCTTAAAATTTCACACATCCTAATATTTTTATAAACCCAAGATCTGGTATTATTATGGAATATATCGGTTCACTCCTTCTGGTACCTCCCCCACAAAGGGTCAATATTTTGAATATCCATGAAGCTCATAAACCTCGAAATTAAAATCCGCTTTCATTCAGACTTGGTACATCTCAATATTTCCATCAACACAAGATCTGTTATAAAGATGGTAGAGATCGGACCTTTTCTTATGGTACTTCCCCCACATAGGGTTTAAGATTTTAAAAAACAAAACGCTCAAAGAAAAGCGAAATAAGCTTAAAATTCTCTTTAAAATTCACACCTACAAACATTTTTGCTAACACAAGGTCTGTTGCGAAAATGATATGGATCTGCTAGCCCCTTCTGGTACCTCAGCCGCAAAGGGTCACTAATTTCAATACTTTTATCTGTCATAACTTGCGAAACAAGTCAGCGATTCTTTACAACTTGTTATATCTATATATTTCTCTCAATCAGACACCGGAGTTGAATATGGAATTTATGACTGATTTCAAATAAAATTGGATATAAATGTTTGCCCAAATCAATATTTATACCCTACACCACATGGCGGTCAGGGTATTATGTCTTCGTGCATATGTTTGTAACAGGCAAAAGGAAACGAGATAGACTCACGGTTCTTTTTGATAATCTGCATAGAATCACGTTCTGAGTCGATTTATACATGTTCGTCCGTCCGTCCGTGCGTCTGTCCATGTATTCTTGTGAACAAAATGCAGGTCGCATTTATTATCCGATTGAGATGAAATTTTCCAAACAATATTGTTTTGGCCCAAGGACGAACCCTATTGAAATTGGTGAGAATCGGATCTAGTTTAGATATAGCTCCCATATATATCTTCATCCGATTTCGCGTTAAATGTGCACCAAATGTCCACTATCAGTCCAAATTACCTGAATTTTGGCACACCCAACCGAGTTCGGCCTAGAAGCAAGTATATCAAATTTGGAGAAAATCGGTTCAGATATAGCTATAGCTCCCATATATATCTTTCAACCGATTTGATCTTTAAGTCCCTCACATTCCTACTATGCACTCCACAACCGTGATATTTGATACCAGGTATTATATGGAGCACAGAAATAGCTGTTTTAAATTTTATCGAAATCGGTTCAGATTTGGATATAGCTCCCATATATATCTTCATCCGATTTCGGGTTAAATGTGCACCAAATGTTCACTATCAGTCCAAATTACCTGAATTTTGGCACACTCAACCGAGTTCGGCCTAGAAGCAAGTATATCAAATTTGGAGAAAATCGGTTCAGATATAGCTATAGCTCCCATATATATCTTCAGATATAGCTATAGCTCCCATATATATCTTTCATCCGATTTGATCTTTAAGTCCCTCACATTCCTACTATGCACTCCACAACCGTGATATTTGGTACCAGGTTTTATATGGAGCACAGAAATAGCTGTTTTAAATTTTATCGAAATCGGTTCAGATTTGGATATAGCTCCCATATATATCTTCATCCGATTTCGGGTTAATTGACCACCAAATGGCCAATATCAGCCCAAATGGCCCGAATTTTGGCACATGTGACCGAGATTAGCCTTAAAGCAAATACAACAAATTTGGAGAAAATCGGTTCAGAAACAGCTATAGCTCCCATATTATGTTTTATCCGATTTGGTGTTTAAGCCTCTCACATTCGTAATATGCACTCCACAAGAATGATATTTGGTACCAGATATAAGATACAGCCCAGAAATAGCTGTTTTAAATTTTATCGAAATCGGTTCAGATTTGGATATAGCTCCCATATATATCTTCATCCGATTTCGGGTTAATTGACCACCAAATGGCCCGAATTTTGGCACATGTGACTGAGATTAGCCTTAAAGCAAATACAACAAATTTGGATATAGCTCCCATATATATCTTCGTCCGATTTGCCTTTTATTTTGCACCAAACGTGTAATATCAGTCCGAATAGTACAGAATTTTGCACATACAACCAGATTAGGCCTAAAAATAAGTATGCCAAATTTTATCGAAATCGGTTCAGATATAGCTATAGCTCCCATATATATTGTTCATCCGATTTGTTATTTTTGTCCTCCGCAGCCGTAATATGCACTCTGTAACAACAATATTTGGGGAAATATATCAAATGCAGCTCAGAAATACATTTGCTAAATTTTATCGAGATCGGTTCAGATTTGGTTATAGCTCCCATATATATTGTTCATCCGATTTGTTATTTTTGTCCTCCGCAGCCGTAATATGCACTCTGTAACAACAATATTTGGGGAAATATATCAAATGCAGCTCAGAAACACCTTTGCTAAATTTTATCGAGATCGGTTCAGATTTGGATATAGCTCCCATATATAACTTCGTCCGATTTACCAGTTATTGTGCACCAAACGTCTAATATTTGTCTAAATGGTATGGAATTTGGCACATACGACCGAATTTAGTCTAGAAGGTAGTATGTCAAATTTGGTGAAGATCGGTTCAGATATAGTTATAGCTCCCATATATATTGTTCATCCGATTTATTGTATTTGTTACCCACAGCCGTAATATGCACTCCGTAACAACGATATTCAGGGAAATATATCAAATACAGCTCAGAAATATCTTTGCAAAATTTTATCGAGATCGGTTCAGATTTGGATATAGTTCCCATATATATTTTTATCCGATTTCAAATTAATTTCGCACCAAATGGGCAATACAAGTCCGAATTTAAAATATACAAATGCTTCGGCATATTTAGTCCTTTGAATTTTAAATTATAACTATAATCATAGCGCGTATGATTGAATTCTCCCATAAAAACTTTTAATTATTAAGTGGAGCTCAACTAAATTAGCAAAGTGGTGTAGGGTATCATAAAATCGGCCCCGCCCGACTTTAGGACTTTCTTTACTGGTTTTTGTTTATTATTTCGAAAACTAAACAAAATTTGGAATCTGAACAACTTTATTTTTTAGCAATTGAAAGATTTCACTCAGAATGTCGATTGATTGAAAAATCGAAAACCCTAAAAGTGCCGACTACTGGTACACTTACCATATTCCTACTGATTTTATGTTATTGCCGAAATAAAAAACTACAAATAGAGTCAACTTACCTGGCACCAATGGATTCTTGGGTCCTTCACATTTCCAATTTTTCGATATTTCTTCCTGTTGCCAGCCTTCGCCAGGTTGAAACATGGAACGTATTATTTGATTTTCTCGAAAATTCGCTTCGAGTTTTAAATAAACCGTTTCGCTTTCGTTTTTGGCATTGATGTTATCGGTTAAATCCAATGAGATTCTAGAATAAAAAACAGAGTGGAGTGTTGAATAAGATAAAAATTATTTTTTCTTTGTGAGAAAAAAATTGGGAATCATAAATTGAGATAAACATTGTCATGTAAGAACCGGCCAAAAACAAGCTTTCCTTTAGCAGTTAAATTTTATAAACGGGCTGTGCTAGTTAATCAAATTCATATCAGCTGCCCTAAATTATGATCTATTTTTTGAATTGCTGGGATGTACAGTTTAATTATTTAAATAGACGATTTAAAGAATTAATTTTGTAAAGTTTTTTTATAATATAGGTCCGTTCCAAAATGTGGAAGAAACTACTGCTTTCATTACT